CTAATCAACGCAACAATAGCGTTTTCCAGAAATTTTGGGACCCGCCCATCCAATCTTCTTATATAATAAAATATTCTGGAGATGAAAAACGTCTGATCATTATTCTTGACTCTTTAGCACCTTAAATAAATAAATATAGAAGAATGCAGGTGCATTCCCTTACAATAGATGAAACTGCATTAAAAAATATTGTTCCTTTGATGTTGTTCACTCATTAAATAATATCCTGTTATTAAGTTTCAGTAAAATAACAGTCTTAAAAATCACAACAAATAGTGTTACTGAAACTGCTGTACAGTAAGTTGACTTTTAAATTCATTGAAACTTTAAAAAGGCGTTTTGCAGTGAAATACTAATTTTTAAATCACAAAAATAGAGTAGGCCTACGTTTTTATCTTTTCAAAAAATCTAATAAATCCTTAATTTCTCCTTAATTTATCTAATATCTCCATTAATTTCAATTTGAGTATAACCATCTGTTTCAAATATTACAGTACGGTCCACGAGAATCTACAGTTGAGGGAGGAGCCTATTTACCACGTGACATCGAAGGATCCAATGAGGACAGTGGGGTATTGCCAAATCTAATAATACAAGATGATTTGAAAATAGTGTTTAGTATATTTTAATTAGTGTCGAAAAGTTGTGAACGGGTGATGTTGCAACAACGCGCTAGTCCAGTCTTGGAGTCTTGGTATTGGCTGCCGCCAACTGCAGACTCTCGTGGTCCCTAGTATAGTGTAAATTTCAAAGTATTCATCTGTTCAGATGTAAACGAAGATTTACTCCATAAGAATAACATGGGAACTTTGAAGGCCACCGGTGGCAGAGACCTGATGGAATTTCAAAGATTTGTTGTTTGATGGCAAATCTACAGGCCGCAACCTATTCAATGACACCTTTAACACGGTCATCGGATGCGTGGAAGCTTCAAAACAATTATCACAAAATTCATGTTGGCCTAAATATATAGAATAGATGAAGGTGCAGGTGGACATTTCCTTTTTTTATTTCTCTTTACACAGTTAACCAGTGCCGCTTTTATAAATGGGCCCGAGGGGCGTTTTGGGTTTGTTCAAAATTTCAATTGTATTATTCAAATTCATATTCAAATTCAAAAAATCTTTAGGTATGAAAAAGTATAATCAAAGGTTTCTAGAATAATCAATACAAAAATTAACAATACTTCCTACAACTCATCTAAAGAAGCTTTGTTGATACATTCATATTAGTTTATTTATTTAAGAGGGAGGTTTAGAAATTCATCCAGCGAGTAAATTACTTCCTTAATTAAATAAGCTTTCAGTTGTCTTTTAAATTTAATTGAATTTTTTTCTTTATTAATATTTTCTGGGATTAATTTTAAAAACTGTTCACCAACACATATGTTGGTTTTTTTCATACAGCTTTGTCTGTGCTGATTTTGCCTTATAGAGTTATTTTTTCTAGTGTTATAATGATGTGTTGGTTCGTGAGGGACATCATTAGGAATTTTGTTCTTTGTACACAAAATGACGTCAAGAACATATTGGCCATAAACCGTCAGTATTTTTAACTGTTTGAAATGTTCTCTGGCCGAATCATCTTGATTTAATTTCAGCATTACTCTTATAGACCTCTTTTAGAGTCTTAACATACCATCCAAATTTGCTGCTTTTTTTGTTGCTCCAAATAAACAAATACCAAAAGAAATATGAGAATGTATGTAAGCAAAATAAATGTTTTTCAATGTTGTTAAATTACAATAAAAAGACATTTTTGAAAGCGCATGAATTCCAGAGTTCATTTTTGTCAAGATCTTGTTTACGTGTTCATTCCAATTAAGGTGTTTATCGATAGTCAGGCCAAGAAAATTTGTACTTGAATTTGGGATCAATTATGTGGGCATCAAACACAATCATTGGTTCTATTTGACTTCTACTTTGTGGAGTTTTAAATGTAATAAAATTGTTTTTTTATAGTTTAATGTTAAATTTTGATACTTTAAGTAATCTCCAAGGTTTCAAAGTTCTATGAAAGCAGCCATTTCCGTTTGTTCTATTTTAGGTGTTGAAATGAGTAAATTAGAATCATCAGCATACAGGCATAGTTCACTGTTAGGCTTACATGAAAGTGCTTTGTCCATGTCCTTAACATAGCCAAGGCCACACTAAAAAAACAGGCCGTAATGCTCGTCTAGCATGACGTCACGATAGAAGACGGCAATGACGTAATGTTTGCCGATTGTGATCAGCTGCTTGTTTTCATCGAAAACAAAAATATAACCTTAATTACGTCATTGCCGTCTTCTATCGTGACGTCATGCTTGACGAGCATTACGGCCTGTTTTTTAGTGTGGCCTTGACATAGCACAGGAAAAGCAATGGACCAAGAATAGACCCTTGCGGAACGCCATATTTTATTGTCTTTATATCTGATTCTGTCTTAACGATTTTATTGTTTTTTCGATGTGTGATTTCCACATATTGAGTTCTATTTGTTGGATATGAATGAAACCATTACAATGAATAATTTGATACTCCAATAGTTTCTAATTTTTTTCAAAAGTAAAGAATGTTTGACACTATCAAAAGCTTTAGATAGGTCCATGAATATGCCAATTGTATTTTCACCTTTATCAACACGGTCAATTACTGACTCTATAAATGATACAGCAGCAGTAACAACTGATCTCCCAGACCTGAACCCATGTTGATTACTATCCATCAAATTAAATTTTTCAAGTTATGATGTAAGCTGACTATTAACTACTGGTATTTTTTCATAAATTTTGGAAATGGCTGGTAACAACAAAACAGGGCGATAATTAAAAATATTTTTTGTGTCATCTTTTTATGTACTGGAATGACTTTTGCCTTCTTTAATTGATCTGGAAATATACCCGTAAGGAAAGAGGAGTTATTAAGTGAGCTATAATTTGGCTTTTCTCATATTTTATACTCTTAAGAAGTGTAACAGGCACTTCATCATGGCCACTGGAATTTTTATTTTTTAATGATGATATAACTTTTTCCACCTCCCTCTTATCAACAGTTTGAAAATTAAACTTAGGCTTTATTGTCCATTCCTGAACAGATATAGCTTCTTCATATCTGTTATTTTCAGTTATAACACATAAGATTATAACAAATAAGATAATACATGGCACCTTACTGTTATAGTCTGGCTCTAAGTCTTTTATTATGTCTATAAAATAGTTATTAAAAATATCTGAGACCATTTTAGGATCTTCTATAAGATGTTTGTCCCTAACTAAACTAATATCACTATACTTTTTTTTTGTTAGCTCCAACTTCAGAATTTATAATGTCCCATACAGTTCTTTGGACATTTGAGGATTTACTAATTTTGTTCTCAAAGTATTTCATTTTAGCTTCATTTAACTCATTCCTAAACTTAAGCTTTTCTTTTTTTAATAACTCTTTTACCTCATATTGTCTACATTCTCTTAATTCTTTTGGTTTTTGAACTAATGTGTATTGTTTAGCCCTCAGTTCATCTGTAATCCACTGATTTCTTTCTGAGTTTTAGTGATTAATGTTTTTGGAAAAGTCACATTAAAATAAAAGTTAAATAAACTATTGAAATTTTTTTCTGGTGATGCAAAGTATACATCGGCCCAAGTTTCATTTCTTAAAAGCATGCTAAAATATTCAGTGCTTTGTTGAGAGAATTTACGTATTTCTTGTTTTACTGACTTTTCATTTTTGTGTTTGAAATTCAAGCAATTAATTTCTAAGACTTGTCCGTCATGGTCTGACAGACATGTCACTATGCCTTCAACGGTAATATTAAATACATCTTTGGTCTTAACAAAAAAATTATCTATGAGACTATGACGGTCTTTGAGTCTACAGTAATTATTGTAGGAAAATTTACTAGATATTTCATACCATGACTTTTCAATGTATCTTTCAGCATTTTACAATAAATAGACTTCTCTTCCCTCACGGTTACATTTCACTGCAACTACTTGCATGTTGCCATTTGTTCTCCTTTCCTTTATATTCTAATTTTAATGTAATTTTGGCATTACTCTCTAATGTCAGTACCTTTTATTCAATCGTGTGAGGAACATTTTCAGTTGGCCAGTAAATAAAGTTATGTTATATAATGTTTTTGCTTATGATTGTATTTATGTTCAATGGTATTTTTTATTTTACATTGTAAAATAACATGCTATTTCTGTGAAATTAGCAAAAAAACAAGAGGCAGTGATTTAGAAAGAAGGCTGCAAAAAAAACTTTTAGATACTGAAAACGTGTTACAAAAAGTCTTTAAAAAGCAGCTTTTAAAAATGAATTTAAAACATTTAATGATTATGTGTACCAAAAGGTGATGCAATGCTAAAAATGAGCTTTGATTTTGTCCTTAACGAGTTTGCCAAAAAAATATAGTAAAAAATCATTAATGTGAAGTGTTAATTATTGCTGAGTGTTAAAATAGTTCTAAATGTTTGTAGTTACATCTCAAATAAAACAAAAAAATGTTTGAATTCAAACTTTTTTATAACCAAACCCATATACTGTACTTAGAAAAATGTGTCCTTGCAGATAAAAAATTTGTATCTCATTAAAAGTTGTACCTATTTAATTGATAGTTAACAATTTTACTTTACTTTGCAAGGACAAGGGGTAATCTTATTGATGATCAAGAGTAGACACAATAAATCGATCTTTATTGTTGTTAATTATAATGCTGCTGATTCGCGTGTCAAATTGTAAAATGCATATTTTTATTATTATTCATATCAAAAAAGGATGAATTGGGCACAACTACCTCTCGGGCATTTACAAGCTAACTGCGGGACTGCAGTTTACCAGTTGCTATGTTGTTTCAATGGGCAAATGAACTAAAAATGTGCATAAGAAATGTGTTACGGGAACAGTTTTCATATCTTTTGAATTACCGGTAACTATTTTGGATCAAGCCAATACTAGTAACAGAAACTATAGTTATTTAAATAGGGATTCACTCACAGCTATGATACTGTAACTGACCTATTGAAGCTATCCTATGAATCCTCTCTTCGCACTTCTCCTTGTAGTCGACTTGTTCTGAGTTAAACTCTGTGACAGCCTCAACAAAGAGATGCAGTGTTGTGGCGTGTTGTGTGCTGCGTATGCGCAAACCCGCAGGTACTTGGTCCTCCGGGCCGAGGTCCTCTTTCTCCTGGTAAATACGCTTTTCTAGAGCTGAAAACAGAAAAGACTTTAAAGATACAGTAGAATACCTCTAATCCGACCTCGGCTAGTCCGACTACTCGCTTAATCCGACCATGCCATCGCCTACAATGTTCTCGGTAATGTTATCGTGGTAATATTCAAATGTCAAAATATTTCATGACAAAATATTTAAAGTCTCCTGCGGTCTCGGGGACATTATCATTGTCTTACGCAGTCGCGTATTAAAAGTCAGTAAAGCAATTAATTTGGTTGGGCATTTAATATGTTCCTTGGATAATCCGACTTTTTTTACAGATTAGCAAGGTTGTACTGTAGTGTTTCAGTTATATGTGTTGTGTTGTAAGTGTAGAGTTTCAGTAGGGTTTTTAGGTATCATGCAGCCTAAGGATCCTCTAGTAGCCTACATATCTTTATAAATAAAATTACAGTTTTGTCTGTATATTGCGTAGAATCATGCAGTTTAGGTTATTTTTACGTTTCATAGCCTAAGAAAGCCGAAACGAGTCTCATCTCAATTTCTGTCTGTCTGTCTGTCTGTCTCTATGTCATTTGTAACGCCAAAATGTCAATTTATGCGGCCTACTTTGAGAAAACTAGAGTAACGATCAAGATTCAAATCGTTTGTCTTTATTCACTGGATTGGTGAGAGTGTCTTTGGCTATCAAAATATGGCCTCGCTACTTTGGAAATAAAATAACAAACCATCAAAAACCCAATTTTGTGCAATTTTTGTCAAGTTTCTCCCAATGTTTACTAGATACGTTAAATAATTAATTAAATAATGAAGAGCTGTTTGGATTAAGATTCTCAATTCTAGCTGTCACTGATATGTTTACATTAAATGCTGTTTACAAATACTGCAACATTTCCAATCACATTTTGTAAGCAAACCGAAAACCTTTAATTGAACCGAGATAGAGGAACCTTAAGTGACCTTTTGACTTACATAGTGGATTTAACGATCGCAAGTACAATAATGTGTAACTGTAAATTTAAATAATCTTCAGCCAGGTCAGGAACCTGGAGATTCTATGTCTATCAAATTCTACTTGAATTTTGATAACCGGGAAAAATACCGTAAATCAAGTGTTGTATTAGACTGGGAAACTTGCATTTTTAAATCATCGCCACCAATATAAATCATCGCCACCAATATCCTACAATCGAGGATTCCATTCATTAACAGAGTTTCGATGGCTGTTGAATCAAGTAAATAATCACAACTGCAGTGAGTGATCGCAGGTGTTGCTGCGATCCCAGAAGACCTTTACGATTTTGTTGTGATCGTTACAGTGTTTTTCTGCTATACTCTCTTTTCAAATATGTCGAATATAGGATCGCTGAACCATACTGCCATAGCCCATCTCAGGGCTCCTTTTATTCACCACGGCCGACCACTGCACCAATGTGTCACGCGGCAAGACGCTGTGATCGACCGCTGTCACGTGGAGGGTGTAACAGTGCTGCCAACTACATTCCGAAGTCGGCAGTCACTTAGTTCGACAGAAAACAAGACAAGACGTGTGACATTCCAGGTGAGTTGGGTTGGCAGCAATGCGAGAGTGACAACGGCCTACCGCGTTGAATAAACGGTCCTATACAACCCAATGCATATAGGATCCGCTCGCCGCCAGTAGTTACAAACCTCCGGGGCAAACGCAACTTCTGGGACCGCTCCAATTTTAATAAAAACACCCATTTATGGCAATGCACTAACAAAACCGAGGCGGCGGACCGCTGGTGAATAAAAGGGGCCTTGGGTACATAGGCCTACCACAGTGGCGTAACTACGGGGGGGGGGGGGATGAGGGGGATAGAAGCCCCCCAAAGGAAAAAAAACTGTTTTAGTTGGGCTGAATAACCTACTCCATAATGAACATTGTTCACAGAGGGTGGATCAGGAATTGTCGTGGGTAATATTTCATGATCTTTGCGAATAAAATCGGGGATTTCCAGTGGCGACTACGTGTAAAGTCATAATATTAGGTTGGCAACACTGCCGCTCATGCGCTGTAAGTTCCCGCTCAGTCTGGGTCTGGCGCGTTTCCTGTGCTTGTCGCCTGTGTTCTGTGTGTTACTTGTTATTCAGTGGTTATGTGTTCACAATGTCTAAGAGGAAAGCATCAGCATCGCAGAGCTTAATAACAGATTTGTTTAGAAAGCGTATAGTAACTAAAACAGAGCATACTGATAACAAACAATCACATTCAGCCTTGCTTCCGTTGCGACGACGCGCGGTGTAAGGGCGGGTGGGGGAATGGTATCTGGAGCCTGCCTGGGGAAATAAAAACTCAGTAGATACGGCTCTTCACGCGCAGCTCAGAAGGCTTACAACAACAACTTAATGATAATTTGTTCGTTTGTTGTGTTGTGATTATGATTTATTAGTCACTTATTATTTCCTGATTCTGACCGGCCAGTGACAGTCTCAATTGGGTAGATTTTTGGAGTTCTTTTGAACGTGATTACACACCTCTGAAATGCCTGAAAACGCGAGTTTGGAGTTCTAATTTTTCAAAATTTAGATTAAACTAACCCCGGACCCCCCTTTTAGACCCCGGACCCCCCGGTATTGGGGCTTCACCATCCCCCCCCCCAAAGCCATGTTCTAGTTACGCCACTGGTCTACCAAATTATCCATAACCACATTTTGACGACGATCCTTGATACTGGTACTTTTCCCTAAATTACATGGCCTACCTACTAAGGAAATAAAATTACAAATGTCCAAAACACTAATTTTATGCGCTTTTTGTCACAGTACCTCCTAATGTGATAAATACCAATCATTTTTTGGAGAATACGCCATCTACTAAATAACAAACCATTGTTTGGTTAAAGGTTGTTTCTTCAAACTGTTAGTCCAGGCGCTAAACGGGTTGAGTATGCACTGAAAGTCTGACAAAGTTTGACTTTTGATTATTGTTGGGGACATCTAGTAGATGGAAAAAATCGATGATGTCGCATTTCTAGGGTGGTCATAACTAGGGGGAGGGGGGGGGGAAGTTGCGCGCGTCAGTGGTTTACGTTTCCACGTCTAACTCTGAAACGGTTAATGATAGAAAGGTGGTTTAAGCGTCTATCTACGCCTATATTGTCTTTCAAAAAGGTTTTACAACCTTTCTTCTATCTCTTATACTTTAGGCGCTAATCAAAATTTATTGAAAAAAATAAAATTTAAAAATACTTTAAAATTAAATATCGGAAATATTGCGCTTGTTAGGGCATGTTACAAACTATTTGTGGTTAGAAAAACTAACAAGTAGTACAACAACACCAAGTTTAAGGAAATCGGTGCAAAAATAACAGAGCTACGTTGATTTCAGTAAGAGTATGCGTGGGAAATTCATAGTAGCGTTGACCGTAAATCCAGTATCGAGGCGCGCCAAAGATAGCAAGCTGTGTAGGTGATCGGTTTGAATGCAACAGGCTCACTTAAATTTAAAGTAACATTATTGTGTTTTGATATGGAACCTATAAACGACGTCAACAAGGAAATACCACATAAATATAACAGATAAAATTATTATTAATAATATTAACTAATTTACTACATAATGTTGTACAAGTTTCAGTTACTTACTTTTAGATGTATTTGAGGTAGACTAAGTTTTTATTTTATCCCTCTTCAATTTACGTTCAATTAATATCCATTTAATTTACATATTTACACTATTTACAATGTTTATTTACATTTTGGTTCAAAATTCAGCTTTTTTAATTCTGATGGCTTACTTGTCTCCCTAATCTTCGCTCTCGATTTTTGAAAGGGTTCTTGCAAGCACTTCCACATTTACAATATGAGCAACAAGAAGACTTGTTTTTTGAGCAACCACAGGTGTTCTTTGAACAGTTTTTGCACTTGCAGGGTTGAATTAATGATGCTGGAGTTGCTGGAAGAGTCATTAGTAACGGGTGGAATGTATTATTTTTGTCTTTGTAATATCCATAGCTTTCCAGATCCAATGGTTCAACAAATCTTTGAAGAGAGTTTTCCCATGGATGTAACTGAGCAGCACATCTAAGTATGTGCAGTTTGTAGCAGTCAGATGTGCATGCTAATTTGCTGAGATTTTGAATAGCAGATTGAGTGGTGGAAAACTCAAGAAAGCGACTCTCATCGCATGATTGGCCTTTCTTTTTAATAAGTTAAAGGTATAGCAACTCTAATTGGTGAATAGATTCCTGGGATATTGGCAAGTGACACAATGACAGCAGTATAGGGTAGAAGTTTTCATTTTTCATAAAGTATTTAAGAGTGAAAATTTAAAAACGTACGTTTTCATGTCCCTGGCCTTTTACTTCGTAGATACTGGATTTGTAGTTTATTATTATGTGTTTTAATATTTTTTGGGACGGGGGCAACATGTTACACACATTTATTTGTTTTTAAATAGGTTCTAGGTATTTTTTTCGTATTTTTAAAATCTCGAAATTCACGACCATGACGTGTCCCTAGGGTACATTTTCCAACTTTCACGCTGTTTTTAGACTAATTATTCATGCCGAAATATATAAAGCCATATTTTTATGTCATGGTTATTAAACTTAAAAAAGGAGCATATTATAATTTTATTGTCATTGCAGACTGACTACCATGACAAAATAAGTTTGTCCCTCGATTTGGCGTCACGACCATTTGGGAAAAATTTTCAACTTTGGAGCACGACAGTGGCAAGCCTGGCGTCGATGGAGTCAGTTGGTTTCAGAGACTCGTTCGGGGTGTACGTCAGGATTGTAGTGCTGGTCGTTTTGAGATGAAAGAAGGAATTACAAGATTAATAAAGGAAAGATTGTGTTTTTTGTAATTTTGGTGTGTCCATGACCGTACGTAGTCATTCGATGAAGTAGACATGGTGTTAATTTTTGTTTATAAGATATTTCAATTGCTAGATTAACCTAGAAGTCCACTTTGTATCCTCGAACATGAGGTGCAGGGCTACCGCCAGAACAGAGCCAAATAACACGTAATTTCACGACCAAAGTTTCACGACCATCGCGGTTTTTTT